TTAAAATGCATTGGCAGATTATTTGTGATGATAAACTCTTTTGATGAAAAGACTTGGTGATGACTTCTGTTATAATTTGAAAGTTGTGCTAGAAACATGGTTCATACTTAAGTGAGGGAATGTAAGAAACTAATATAAGCAAAAGATTATTGTGATAGCCAATTAATTCAAATTGGTACATGAAAAGTCTTATGAAAATAGGATTGCTTTGTCCTAATTTACATGGAATTGGATTTAGTATGTAAATTGGTTTCTACCACTTGTAATTTGATAAGGAGACTATTTTTGTGTTCTATGTGAATTCTAATAGAAGCGTCATATCGATTGCTTGTCTATACAAATAGTGGTCACTACTCTCTTAGAAAAAACGCTCATTATTGGACTTAGGTTTCTATTGTAATCAAACATATTGTTTTTGCAAAATAGAGAAAGCTTACTATTGAAATCGGTCAGACATCATTTTCTTTGTTATTTTTAAAGATTCTTACCACTATTAAAAAAACCCCTTGTGCGACGAAAGACGAAATTTTAGACTTTGTCGCACAAAATGTTTAAAAAAAAAATTAAAAAAAAAATTTTTAAACTTTGCACGACAAAATCCAAATATTTTGTCGCCTGAACCCGATTTATTTTCTTTTATATTTAACTTTATATTTTAAATTGTAAAATAAATTAATTTTTATTTTTTATTATTTTTTTTAAACTTTGCGAGACGAATATTAATATTTCGTCGCCTACACCCTATTTATTTAATTTTATTAATTTATATTTATATTGTTAACCTATATTATTTTTATTATTTTTTATTATTTTCTTTGCACGACAAATCAACATTTCGTTGTCTAGATCCTATTTATTTTATTTTATTTATATTTTAAATTGTAAAATAAAATAATTTTATTTTTTATTATTTTTTAAAAACTTTGCACAACGAATACTAATATTTCATCGCATAAATCCTGTTTATTTTTTATTTTTTATTTTGTTTAAATTGTCCAATAAAATTTATTAAATAAATTTTGAGACGAACCAATATTTCATCGTTCAAAATCGTTAAATTTGGGTGGGTGCTAAAAATGATATGTGGAAAATTTAATTTTTAAAACTTTGAGCGGCCAATCTTTTGTCGTGCAAAGTTTTGCACGACCTATATTTCGTTGCACAAAACCCTAAAAATTTGGGTGGGCACCAAAAATGGGGCGCGGGGATTTTTTTAAGACTTTGCTCGACCAATCTTTCGTCACGCAAAATCATATCCTTCGTCGTGCAAAGTGCTACAGTTTTTAAAACCAAAATAACTCCTCCGCAATTTTCTCAATGTATCTCTCTAGTTCTCTTACCTCTCCTATCTTTCCCTCTCCCCAAATCCAACCCCCCCCCCTTCACACTCAATCTCTCCTATCTTTCTCACTCTCTCACTATCTCTTCTCACACTTGCTCCTCTCTCCCTATTTGTCACTTACTCCTCTCTCCCTATCTCTCACTCACTCTTAATCTTTCCAAAAGGTATTTTCTCTCTAAATTTTAATTTATTTTTCATTAATATGTGTTTTTGGAGTTAATTTTGGGTTTGGGTGGGGTTTGGGGTTGGGTATAGGGTGAGGGGTGGAGTTTGGGGTATGCCAATTTTAGGGGAGGTTATGACCAATTTTTTGTATTATTTTATGTTTTTTTTTTTTGGTTATTTGACCTTTTTTTTTTTGTAGGAAATCGTCGGGACTTTGACGGTGAAAGTTGAGGACTGGAGGATTATGACGCTATCGGACCACATCCCCCACCACCACAATAGACTTGTATTAGGATTTTATTATTGTAATTTGTTAATTTATATGTATATTTTAAAATAAAATGTATATTATGGATAATTTGATCACTATTTTTCAATGTAATTTTATTTTGAATATGTCAATTTAAATTTAAGTAATTAAAAAAATAAAGCCATACAATTAAATTAAATTAATAAAGTAAAAATTCAAAAAATCTTGTGCTAGCAAATATTTCGTCGCGCAAACAATTACCATAATTAAATTAAATAATAGAAATAATAAAACAAAAAGTCAATTTAATTAAATAAAAAATAAAAACAAAAACCTTTTGTCACTCAGAATCTTGCACTACCAAATATTAAAAACTTTGCGCGACGAAGAAATATTTCGTTGCGCAAAGTACCTTCGCGTGACGAAGATTAATTTTCGTCGTGCAAACCCTATCTTCACGAGCTTTGCGCAACGAGATCTTACTTTGTGCTACAAATCTTATTAGGTCGCGCAAAGTGTTTTTTTTGTAGTAGTGTATAGTTGCACCGTAAAGTAGGGCACATATGATCTTTTGGGAAAAACTGAAGAGGATATGACAGTTTTTTTCAACAATTTTCAATAGAGAGAATCAAAGGGAGTTGTATGAAAACAAAAGAAGGTGCCACTATTGTAAGCAACCATGACATAAGACCAAATTCCATCACATCTAATTGTTTCTAGAATCTTGATCGACGGAGGCCAAATTCAGTATACGTACGTGTGTGTGTGTGTGTGTGTGTGTGTGTTGATTAATGAGAAAATTTTGTCACTATTAATTTTCTCCATTTGGTTATCTTGCTTGTGTGATTCATCAGGTTCCTCTTTGCCTACTTCCCACTTGGGTTGAAATCCCACACGCCAAGGAAACAAAACTGCTTTGAGAAACTAATATAGCTGGCAAGACCATTGACCATTCAACAATTGTAAATACATACATCTACTTCACAAAATGCTGTAACTTCACTAAATAGCAATATATATGTATGCATTATCTGATTATACTGATAATTTAAGTTTACTAAACTGGCCTTTCACCTAGCACCAAACAACAGATCCAAATATAAACCACCACCACCACCACCCAAACAATAATAAAGACCACCTTGTGTTCAAGCTTGATGCATTAATTTAGCATTGTTGCAGAAAAGTATATAATGTAATATGAATTTTTAGAATGTAGAAATCCTCATCTATTCCTCAAATTATTTCAGATATTATTCCAGATATTATTCCAGACACTGTAATACGAATTTTTAGAATGTAGAAATCTATGAAATTTCGCTAATTAATTAGAAATGTTCTAACACCAATAAAACTGCATGAACTAATTAATCTAACGGAAAAGTTCATGACACATTTTCAATTCTTTTAATTTTGATAAAGATTCAAAATAATCTTGAGGGTTTGAAGTAGCGTCATATGGTTTGACAAAAAAAAAAAAAAATTAGCGTCATATGGGATTTCAAAAATCAATTGTAATTATCATTTGATGGAGCAATGAGGTTTCAAATATAACCTTCAATTCTATCATCATGCAACTTGAGCAGGATATCCCATTATTTCTTGACCTCACTAATTAAGAACCACCGGATAAAGAGAAATCATAATTTTATTGTTATAATATATATATATATATATATATATATATATATATATATATTAATCTATCCTACAAAGGATTGGTGGTTTGAACGCAGATGCAATAAGTTAAAAAATTTAGCCCTAATCAAGACAATTCATCACTTCAAGAAATCATTATTAAGTTTTTTTATAATAAAAAATATATACATAGTTGAAGTTAATAACATAAGAACCGTCTATTATTTTACTATCAAGCTATGTTGCCATTTCTGTCATTCTTCCGACGTGGGATTCACTCTCAACAAGCCTTAAAATCTTACTCAGCAAATAGAAGCCATGATTTATCCAGAATATGTCTGATGAAATATTTATGATCTGCTTCCCAATTGCTCTGCAAACTCTATTACGTTGTAACAAATTTGTGATCAGTAGAATAGTACACAAGTTATCCAACAATAAGGAGGAACAGTGAAGCTTACTGTTTCCAGTATTCCAGTACCCATTACAATATAAGGGCAGTAAATATTAAATAACGGCAAATATTGGTAGAAACTACGTACGTACGTATACTAAGTTGTGCAGAAGTTTATAATTTACCCCTAAAATGCTAAGGATCTCAATTCACAAGCCTTTGATTGTCGGAGCTAGAAATTTCTTCTAGTGGGAGCAATCTGAAAATCAACTAAGAAAACCTTATTATAGTATGGCTTATACCTAATATGATAATAGGGATGATTTCAAATGATGATGCATCATAATTCCAATGTTACTAAAATTTCAATGCAGTAGTAGAAAGTGACAAAGTGATAAGAAAAATCTTAATACATGATTACGCGGGAGAGGTTTTTCAGTTTGAATGACAGAACAAGAGCACTTTTGCTCATATAATATTTAATATAGAGTATATGTAGTATGAAAGTATGTTGGATATTAGATACATATATTTTCTTCAAAGATAACACGTGTGTATTGTATAATTGTAGTCTACAACTTAACAAACGAATCACTTGAGTAGGGTCATATGCCCCCAGCTAGCCTTCATTGGCTCCGTCCATGTCCTCCCCACTCTTCAATATTAATTTCTTCAAATCAACAATAATTCAGGATCCTTGATTGGCATGGATTAACATGTGCAAGTGTCTATATAGTCCATAGACATGTACTAGATCCCGCACGCGAAATAACACCATGATTAAACCCAAATCCCAACCAAACCTAACGTCAGAGAACCTTCAGCCTCAAGTTTGTCTTGGTTCAATTACTAATTTGATTGCCAGTATATTCGTTTTGTTGGGTTTTCTGACATTGCTTCCGTGCATTTAGAGGAGAGATTCGTAGCTATCCAGTGTATATGCTTATTACTAATTATACGATTATAAAGATAGACAGAATGAGATATACAACATGTTATCAGGCATATTCTACATATCTTATAGTAGGGTTTCATTAAAATCTTGATATTACTCAATTTGTAAATAACATATATGAGGATCAAATAATTCAAAAACATGTTACATGGCAGAGAGGTAATACTGCATGTTCAACATATAATATCATGAATAATGTGCGACAATTGAACAAATTAACAGGTTTGGTTTTGGTGGCTAGAGCACGAGATTTAATTTGGACATGCCTTAGTTTCGTTGAATAACTAGGAAGAAGAACAAGTGGTGGAAATTAAATTTAGCATGAGGAAAGGAACACAACAACCAACAATATCTGGCGACAAAATAAGGACCTAAAATGGATTAAGACAGTACCTAAGAAACTAAAAACCTCCCAAGAAACCGTATATCAATTATAAAACATTTCTCTGTATCTTCATTTTATTCCACTTGAAGAATCATCATAATAAGAAAATTAAATGGGATCGATGTCTTAATTTCAGTCTAAAAATTAAAATTTAACCAAAGAAGGAAACATTTTCACTTGGAAGGGAGCTATAGTCCGCGGCACTGGTTTGTTGATTAGTGTACATAGAAGAAGAGGAAGAAGTAGGAGGTAAAGGAGGTCGTGGTGACGGTGGCGGCAGTGGTTGTGGGGTCTGCGGCAAGGAAGCAACGGAAACAGCCCCGGAAGTAGAGAATAAAGCCATATGATGATGAGAATTAGAAGGAAGGAGATCTGCTTCCCTATATTTGTATTTAAGTATCTCGCCCCTTACTGCGTTTAGCTCAGCTTGTAAAGATTGAACTTGTTGTTGCAAAGCTGAAATTACACCCATGCATCCATACACCGGATCTCTTAGCCTTACATTTGCTTCATAAACAAGACTATTTGCTGCATCTGCTCTTTGAGTCTCCGGCACCTCCTGATTAAATGTTTAATTGCACCACACACAAGAAAAAATAAATCACTAATTATTAATGCAATTAAAAATCAAGATAATAAAATCCCAGTGGCTGCTACCGGATAGAAATTAATCTACAGTGAGGGTAATGAAAGGATTAGGCTATCCTTCATCCCTCCAAACACCAACACCGGTCAATATTTATTATCTAAAATCAAATGTTAACAAAATATGGACAAGATGCAGATTGATACCGGAATCAAACGCTTTCTCCGAAATTGAATGTACATAATCAATGCATAATGATGACGCAAAGAATTAGGGTTTATAGTTTACTTACCATGAGCATCTTCGAGACGTTGCTGGCACCAAAGACCTTATGGACCGAGGCAAACTTCTGGGGTTCGTGGGGAGAGAAGTAAGGAGAGAATGGGCATTCCTGTGCACACCTTCGTCTGAGGAGTTTACAGGCAGCACAAGGAGTGATGGTGTTTAGGGTTCCAGGAGGGCCCAACATGTGTCTTCTTCCCATTTGATAATGGGAAGCATCAGTTTCTCTTTTAAACTTCTTGCCTACCTCGTCAAATCTCTCCCTAGAAGCAGAAAATAAATGCATAAACAAAATTGTGATGACACATATAATACAACTATAGATAGGAAGGTGATTTCCGCACAGCACTCCTATTTATTTCCGTTCCTCAGTTCTCTTTTAATTCTTTTCTTTTCAGAAGTCAGAAACAAATAGGGGATAAAAATGTGCGTGAAAATCAGTTCTGATATAGAAAACGTTGCAATTACATGAAAATTAATTATTACCTTTCTCTGGACATCCAGGCATGCTCTCCCAGGGTAAGGATAGGGAGGTGGAGTTGCTAAAGAAGAAAGAAAAGGATAGAAGGAAAGAAGGAAGTATAAAATAGGGGGCTACAAATTAATAATGAGTGAACTTCAAAGGCAAGGTACACTATAAAAAAAAAGTGGTCCACTGTTAATATAGTTTATAAAACAATAGGAGACAAAAGTGGCTGGAGTGTTAGATTACAAAGTACTGACTGAAATTATAAGAGAAGCAGAAAGCTAAGAAACTTTTGTTTGTTGGTGATGGTAAAGATTTCTTTGATTGATGTACGAGGATTTTGAAAATTATAGTTCTCCAGAAATCAACAGAGCACTCTCGGTCTCTGAGACAAAGGCATCAACACTCTCGGTCTCTTCCCCCCCTTTCTCTCTCTCTCTCTCTCTCTCTCTCTCTCTTGCTCACGTGTGGTTCCTTAATGTGTTTTGACTTTTTGATCAGCCATTTGATTTCATGCCTGCATGTGGTTCTTTCTTCATCTCAGAAAGACCTAACTTATTTTGACCAAAAAAAAAAATGGCAAGACCTAACTAGTTTTTCTCTTTGTTTTTTATTTGAAAGTTGAACACGAATTATCTTAGTATACAAATGTTTTTTTAATTAATAAGTTAAGACAAACTAGTAATGAAAATGCAAAAGTAGCTCAGTGCTCAGAATTAGAGAGTACATCTGCTATTTGTTGATATTGAATGCGAATCTATGGTATATATGGTACATTGTATAGTTGAACACACTCACATAATTTGTTGTTCTTCCCCACAAAGAATTTATAAGAATCAAAGCTAATTCAAACAATAAATAAATCAATTCTACTTGAACAAGCAAACCTAATTAAATAGATGTTATAAGTACATACAAGATCTCTTCTTTCTATTCGTAATCTCAACAAAGGATAAGAAAACTTAATTTCCTCCTAAAGGCTATTATTAGAAATAAATTAGAGATCTCTCACTTCTCTTTTTCATTATTTTCCAATATGGATAACAACAATGTTAATGTATCAGAAACTATAGATTACCAATATTTTTCTCTTTCACATCATAAACTTGACAAAATAAAATATAACTTATATCAAGTGGTATTATTTTGATTACATCAAAAGTCTTTTGTAATAAAATCTCACCTGAATTGAGTAATTTTGAGTAAAATATAATCTCTCACCTGTCTATTTCATCATTTTCTAAATATGTATAACAACAATGTTAATGATCTGGAACTATAGATTAGTACGCTCAGTACCAAACATTTTCTTCTCTTTCACATTTTATAACCGAGGAGATATATCTCCTTATTAAGTTGTAATTGGCATGTTAGTTCCTTGTCAAAATCAAGAACCTACCTTTGATGAAAAAGCCTGTATCTGGGATCTTGCTCCGAAAAGGACATTTTATATCGGTCACCGCATGAAAACCACAATTTGTACTTGAAGATGGCTAATACCAATAAACCCATTTACTCAGAACTTGAATCTGTCAAAAATTGATTGTCCCTTTCTTTACAACTAGCCATATGTATGGATCATCAGCAAATTAATTTAAACACTCCCTTGTTTCCCCTTCTGATATAGCGAGCAACTACATGTAGGTTAATTAAAGTCAATTATACATATATTTGTCTAATTTAGTAAGTCATATTTACAAGCAAAAGAAGCACACACATAACAATAAATTTTGGGACAAATCAAAAGAATAGGCATTAGAAGTCATATGCAAAGGAAAATGCGACAAATGAGGTTGATTGATGGGACGAAGAACTAATTCACGAAAGTTGCTTGTAAATATTTTTTCCTTCCCCTTTTCAGTCATCTCTTAAACTCCTACTTCAAGGAATTCACTACTCTTCTATAAACTTACTCAACACATCAGTGATGTTTACAGAAAAAGACTAGGCACCCTTCAAGATAGGTTATATATAAAGACAGATATATGGATAATGGATCTATATGTGCTAATTTTCTGGACAGCTGACCTACATTTTCATACAAGGAAAGCATTGTGATTAATCTATCATGGTTGTCTATTTGAACTCTCCAAATGCTGCGTTGTCCATATTTTAACTAGTGCTGTCAACAGCTTCAATGATTGTGTACGTTGTTCAATGACTCATCTGGCTAGCCGCTGGCCATCAGATTTTCTTTCTTTCTTTCATTTGATTAATAATTAGCTTACGAAGAAACCCAATGGCTTAATTTCGAGTTGTGTGCCATTATAACATGGCACACTCATGCTTGACTAGAAAAATTGTGTTGAAGAATGTGAAAAAAAATCTCACATCAGAAACTTGACAAAATAAAAATATAACTCGCATCAAGCACAGTACTATTTCAAATTACATTAAAGTCTTTGTGATACAATCTAACATCAATCGGGTTGGTATATGGTTAAGTTGAAAACAATATCGGTACATGACCCATTAGTAGTGGACCATTAAATTCCCTTTGTTAAATCTTGCAAAAAATTTCAAATAGTTTCTCGATTGACTCTCATTCTTATATCTATGAAAGCTGCATGTAACTACAGCAGTAGTGCAATCTAATTAATTAAAATCATTGAATTAAATAACAAATGATAAGATTAGACACATACTTAAGCCAAGTCTCCAATGACCTAATTACTAAGACTAGGGATGGAGGAAAGACTAGGGATGGAGGAATACTATTAATATATATTTGGTCAGTTGTAGATGGGGCAAATTCTTAGTTGTGAATTTGAGGAGTGTTATGTCAAAGGTGGGTGGTGAAAGGGAGGGAAAGGAAGAGAAATAATAGATTTTGAAGAGAAAGGAATTAGTAAGGAATTGGAGGGGATTAATATTTTAATTTATTATGATTTGTGAAATTCATATATGTGCATTGCTTAGACTGTAAGAAAATGACACCCTCTTACAATCTTGTTTGACCCGTATTTTAAGGCTCGCAAGTCGCCCCGATGTTCTCTCATCCCCAACCTACTTTCTCACACTTTCACTCTCGTATCTTTCTGCACCAAAACCCATAACTTAATTATCCGTAATTTTACAAGTGGTCCTTTATCATAGTGTTGAAAATGAGTTGTGCCCTTATATTTCAGTATGGGTTTGAACCCCGTCAGCTCTCTAATTTAACATTTAACCACTAATGCTATCGTCTTATCAAAAAATAAAAAATCATCCGCCATTTTACTTATGCCAATAGGTTTGAAGGTCCTCCAAATAAAGAGTAACTTTAGTTTTTTTCTTTTTTTTTGCCTTCGTTGTCATACACATGGGTAATTTGTTTTTTACTTGGAACAACTTCTCACGTGATATTACTATTTCACTTAATGTAATATAACATGTGTTGTCCAACCATATCATAACAAGTATAGTGATAACACCACATAACGGTGTTCTGAGTCCACACAAAAAATTTCTCTATATGCGGTTCTATTTGATTTGATATGAAGCCTGGCTAAGCTACCACACATTTTCGTTTTTGCTTTCAACTCTTTATACCGAACAAACATTCGTTTCAAATTTTTAAATAATTAAGTCAACATATGTATATGGTAGCCAACTAACCATATCAAGAAATCTATAAGTAAGCTGTGTGCATGAACTTTGGTTGTAAAACGTTGCTATCTAGTTAAATTGTCAATCTATGATAGCATGAGATCTCTTCCACTGGTCACTAATAAAAAACCTGAGACTTCTCCATCCAGGTCCTCTACATCCTTAATATATTTCTCTTTTTATTATTCTAAAAAGAAGAAATTAGATATAAGTCTAATTAATGCCCCCTTATTAGGTAGTATAGTATTATCTCTACTAATTAATAAAACACTCATTGTCAACCAAAATCCTATGAAATTACCATTTTAACCCTCTAATTAAAACAAAACATGAATAAGAAATATAGGGCAGAAATGTAATTTCACATAACCAAATTTTACTTTTTTTTTTTTTTTCAAAGCCTCATCTACATTTAAGCCTAACATATCTCTAATTAAAATAAAAACAAAAACTTCACACTCCCACATTCTCTATCACTCTCTTCCTCTCTCCTTCTATTTCAAAAAAAAATATATATATATATTCTCACACACTTTGTGTGTGCCCATATGCTAGTTATTAATTTAAAAAAATTATTCTGTGGACATGGCTGGACTGTTAATGGGTAGACTTTGCCCTACTTTTGGCAAATTTAAAGGAATTATTATCTTAAGCCCAACCTAAACTTAGGAGGCCCAAATTGGACGAACCTTTCCCTCAGACGATATGAATAATGAGCGGATGAGCAATTGTGTCGACTTGGCGTGCACATGACAAGGATAGACACCAGCGCTCGCAAACATCATTGATTTGGCATCCTCCACAATAGGACCAACGTCGGACAAGTTGATGGAGGCCTCCTTCAAAGCATAAATAATCTGGAGCGAGTTACTCTCAACAATCATGTAAACCCCTTTCAGCCTCCAAAACTAAACCTTCTCGAGCCGCGATAGCCTCCACGAACAAAGGAGAAAAAAAACATTTTCCACAGAAGCAGCAGCAGCCACAAACTCTCCGTTCCCATCTCTAATAATAGCTCCGATACCTCCAACCTTGATGTTTTCAACCCAGGCACCACCTACGTTTATCTTAAGTCTTCCGCGCGGAGGTTTGACCCATTTGACAATGAAAAGGCGGTGTTAACAGGGATACACGTCTTCCCTTTCCATAATTAGTTGTTTCTTGAATTTCACACTGCCCACCAGATCATCAAGCAAATGTCAAAATTGGAGATACTTAGGTTGTTGGCCAGGAACGAGCCCCGTTCATTGATACACATTTGCTGATTTCCTTTAGGAGGGTGACCAAGTGGAGAAGCCATCCAAACACAAGAAGTAGGCAATCTCTCATCAAGTGAATGGCAGATTCCAAGTGGTGTTTAGTTTAAGATATTGGTTGAAATGACGAAAATACAATTTCAATTGCTAAGATGATAAATTTTTCATAATTTTGTCCATGTGTCGTCAATATGATTGATAATGTCATGAATATATATCCATGATTTGATTTTGATCATTTAGCTATTGAGATACTTATTTCAACTAATTTCCCGGCTTTTACAACCATGCCTATATATCCAATAATCATAAGTTTCTTTGCGAAAACAAAATTGTATCACTCTCAATTAGAAGTGGTAACATGTTTTTTTTCGTGTGTCGTGTTAACCAATAACCACAAATCACATTTTAACAAGTTATTAAACTCGAACTTTTAAGCTTACCAACAACAATTGATTAACTCGATTAAATTTAATTATTCATTTAACGGGTGACCCTTTAATGAAAAACTTTATTTGAGATACATTTTAAATCAATGATTTTGACTTATACTCTTGAGAACAAAATAAGTGGTTAGCATTAGCAAAATCATAAGATATATACCACACATGTTATAATACTTAAAGTCACGCATAATAAGCTCCGTTAAAAAGGTCAGGTAACAACACAAATCTTGAAGAAGGAAAAAAAAAAGGTTAAAATTCAAATAAGTGGTCTAAAGAGCAATAAATCCTAAAATTTGACATCCCCTCACGTGTGGCGAATTTTCAAGCTTAACACGTGAACAACACAAATCGGGTGACGTAGAGCACATGTAGCCATTGGACTTCACACGAGGGACAACCTGCTTTGATACCATGACAAAAGTTAAGGTTCCACCATAAAACCAATTGACAATATGGAGAGTAGCCCAACCTTTTATTAGCTAATGCAAAGTCGCTCTTCTCATCAATATGTGATTCATTTTCAACAAGAACCAACAATTGTACCTACTCTAATAGCAGTTCCACCTTGGGCAATAGCCCGATGGACTGGCTCTCAAACAAGGCTAGAAAGCTCGAGCAACTTGGTCCAGTATGTGCTGGCGATTGAGCCCGAATAGGCCCAAGGGAGAGAAGCTTGGCACGAGTTGCCAGCCCGAGAGCCTAAAGGCCATATGACGCAAGGGATGACGTCAGGGGTGACGTCAGCCACAATATAAAATTAATAAAAATATAAAATATTAATAAAAAGATATAAAAAATAATTAAAAAAAAGAGTAAAAAAATAATTAAAAAATTAAAAATTAAAAAAAAAATTTAATTTTTCTATAAATATGTTATCATTATCTTCTAACTTACACCATAATTTTATATTTTCTCAAATACTTTGGGTTGAAATTTCTTATTTAATGACACGTGGTACAATGAAACCGATTAAAAATCATATCCGAAATTACAAATAAAATTATTTTGTATTATTTTATAAAATAAAAATACTAATATTTTATTACCTATTGCCAGGGCTATTCAGTGTAGGAGTAGAGATGCAAAAAGCAATTATTGTTCATTAAGGTAGTTACTGTTCATTGAAGGCTATTCAATAGTGACTTACCCTATGGGGCCTTTGTAACGGTGGAGTTACTCTAAAATAATAGAAGGGCGCTGATAAAAGTGAAAGTAGTTGAAGAGTTCTTTAAGCCTTAATTGTATTACTTAGTTGTATTCACTTTCATGAACATGTACAGAAGCCTATTAGACTAGGAGATTGAAACAACTTACTAAAATAGAGATGATTTACACGATAAATAATTATTTATCTTCTGTCATTAGATTATCTCATGTTCTTAGATTAATATAAATCAAAATACATGAGATAATGATACAAGATAAGTAGACAAATATTAAGACGATGGCAGAATTAGATAAATACACAAATTATGGTCGAGAACAGTAGGTTCTTGTCAGTAATGTGATATGTGATATCTTTAATCTATATTGTTTACAGTATTAATTGCAGTCCAATAATTTAAGCACCCAAAATAAACATTACTGCAAATTAAGCTACGTTGTGTAATATTTCTTTATAAATTATCACATAAAATAATGGGATTTATAACTTCAACATTCATCCTCATCTCACATCCACAATGAAAGAGTTTAACTTTACAAGAAAAGGAAATGGCAGTAAAAAGTAAATATTCAATAAAATAGAAAACTGAATTTCAAATGCATTATGTTGGAATATTGATCATGAGATATGACATCAAATATGGAACCCTCCACATGTTCTTGTCATTGGTAGTCCACACACTGCATGCCCACTTACACTTCTGGAATTAATTAAAATTCTAGTGCAAAACCCAAAAATAAAAAAGATTTAATTAACACGACCACAGAAATTTCTAATTAAGCAGCAGCACCTCGGCCAGATTCATGGTTTTACAATGGACAGACATGCAAATTTTATTTTCCTCACTGAATAGCAGCCTCGCATCCCATGAAAATTAGTAGAAATCGTACCTTTGCGTTTGCCACCAGAGCATAAAGCTGAAGTAGGTGATCCAGAATTTCGATGATGATTATCATAATAATAATCTTCCTCGTAATTATTCTCTAATGGCATCCTCGAAACCGAAAAACATCGATTTTTTCTACCCTTTTTGGTTCTCAAACCTGATGAAGAATTTGATGATGATGATGATAATGAATATGAGTATGATGCCGACGAAGATGATGATGCCGATGACAACGATGGAGATGGTAATGGTGATAACATGTTATGTGCCTTGACCATTTTCCTAAGCCTTGGGAAAATGGTGCCCAAAAACTTTGCTTTGGAGCTAGGGTTTTGCTGGATATGTTTTTTGCTGGGTGGGGTAGTGGAATAGGAAGGTGGGGGTGTGAGAGGAGGAAGAGACGAGTGCGAAAACTTGTGCTTCGGTGTACCCGGCTGTGACTCCCACATGAATGGGATAGCACCAGCTTCTCCATAGTAAACCCTGCAAGAAGCGTTGGCCGCGGATGATTCCTTGGTGACAATCTTGGAGGAAAAGTGCTTGTTTTCAGTCACCATTTTTTAATCTGGTTTTGGGTTCTGACAGTCTCTGGCTTAGCTACTTGGCTAGCGATAGAGCAGATCTGAAATTTCAAGATCCGAAGAAGAAGCAGCGAGGTAGCTGATGATATTGAATTGAATAGAATATCTTGTAGAGTGCTGGTTGCAGTTGAATGTGGGTCGTCTAGTATTAATTTAAGGTTCCACACATTGTAGGGCTTATAAAATGTTAATATATACACAAAACCAAATTCCACATTTGATGCTGATTTGTGGAATTTGTCTCTTATATAGGAAAATCTCAGGAGCTTAAAATTAGGGAGATTATATCTCTCAAAAGAATTTGTGAGATTATAGATATTTTTCTATTTTCTGAAACTATTTTAAAACTTAAAAGAGTTGGCTATTCGCACTCTAATAAAGTTATATATTCTTTTAAATAAAAATTTCATACTTAAGCTTTTCAAGTTTCATTTGATCAAAGTGTATTTGTATTCAACACTTATGTTCATAAACGCTTAACTCAAAAATAAAAAACATATTAAAAGCCTAAATACTTCTTGGAAATGTTTATTAAAGGCGCATCTCTAAAAGTGTTTCTATGATCTAAAAATGCATCAAGCCTTTCAAAAACAGTCTCAAGCAAACCGTTAGAATGGAGAGGTGATAATATGTTCATAATCAGCAAAAGGAGTTGAGACTCATTTATTTATACATGGCATTTTTTTATACAAATGATAGGTACGCTAATGTGACGGAGGAATAAATTATTAGTTACGAATTCGTCATTTACAAAATTCAAACATAAAATTGTCCACCAAAAAAATATCACCAAATTATAGTATTAAGTCAATATTTACGTGGCATCTTCAATTAAATAAATTTTAAAAAAATATTATTGATGCATTGCAACTACCAAAATCATAAATAGTTTTTGGGAAAAATAATATTTGATGTGATGACTGAGATTTAGCAGGACCATAAATAATAGCCATAAGAAAAACGGTTGAGAAAGTGTGGGATCTGGTAGCGATGAGCACTGTATCATAAATGAGAGTTCGTCGCAGATCGTATACTACCCGGCCTGAGTGGTTCTTCTTTTGATGGTAGCTACAACTCTGAGGAAGCCTGATTGTGCTGGTTCAAAAAACATGTTTATCGTTGCAATTTTTAGGGTTTATATTTCTTTGGGACCACTTGCCTTATGCACAATTTGATCAATTTCTCTTTGGGATGTCACACAGATAATGTGATTTATAATTTTTTTTTTAGCCAAAAATGAAGCTTCATTAATGAAAGGAAGATATAATTTGTGGTAGAAAAGTTTAAACCTAAACAGAGTACAAAATCCTACACAACAAAGCAAACATAAGATAGAGAACATGCCCAAACAAGGAGAGCTACAACTCCAGCTACAAAGAGAAGTCCACACTGATTTAGGCCCGTAGGCTACAAACAAGGAAGATAATTATAATGATGCTAATAATACAGGTCAATAGACAGTCTAATCCATGTCAAACTGCATTGGCTGGCTCATGATGAGAAATACGTACAAGAAATTAATGAGTTCATGTGATTTCTTTTTCATCATGTGACACGTCATGTGATTAGAGAAATAGAAATAGATTTTCATGAACTTGTGTTATTTTAAACTATTCTATAGCATGTTTACTAACCAAGACTAAGAATTGAAATTATTTTTTCTGTTTTTACTAAAATATCGGTATGAGACTTATTTCACATGTTAATTTTCTCATCTGTTTACTATACTAACACATAAAATCAGAAACATGAGTCTTTTTTATTGAAATTTGTAATCAAATTAATACCCTAAAATATCAGGAATCATGTCAACTAATTGATCTGATCATTCTCGTTCTTTACTTCACCTAATTCTAAATTATCTGATTAATTCCTTCTTCCGTTTCTGTTAACTAAACGTGCACTCTCTTTATATTGTTTGTGTATGTTTTGATCCTGTGTAATCAATTACATAAACAAGTATTTCCTTTCTTGGGAAAAACATTCATCAAATTTGTACAATCAAATTGTACATGAAATGAACTTAGCTAGCAAACCTCCTAATGCGTGTAGTTACTGCTGATGTGCCCTAATTAAAATGTTCAACAACCCTACCAGATTTTGTGCCCAAAAATTATGAGTTCATGACCCACGGCTTTAAAACCAGTCTGAAGACTCTGAACCCTTTTGCCACAAAAAAAAACAAGGGAATAAGATGCTTTGGTTTCTCTTAATTCTTTCCTGCTGACCTGGTCTCTGCATGAATGATGAAATCATTGGCTGTTTAGTTATTATATATTCTTGGGGCAGTTACAGATTTATTAATTTTCTCTACGTTTAGGTACTTAATAGAATTGACGTTTGCTTGTGGTCAGCTGTGAACTAACTCACGTCGATCGACCAAGAATATATATATTCAAGCAAGAAAGCAACCATGCATGCTGCAATGCGGAACCAACGCGACTTTAGATCATGAATCACATGTTATCTTTTTTATTTTACTGTTTTCGGAAAATCGTACAAAACTTTCGCTGTATTTTATTATCAGGATTTTCTAGCATATTCTAGAATGCCTTATATTTTGAGATTTTTTATCGTTAGATCTTTATTTAAAGATACAATGATCAATCTTACTGCCAAACATGCTAATATCTTGAATACTCCATAGCATATAAAATTTTCGTTTCATTATCTGTGCTCCAAGTTGCAAGAAATTATCATTGGGGTATCAAAGAAAATTATGCTCTACTACTGTTATGCAAGGGCATGCATATTGGTATATGTGTCTCATGTTCAATTGAATGTGAAAGGGAAGTGTTGATGAGAATGAATTCCACAATGTGGATGGACTTTGCATACGTTTATAAGTAAGTTGAATTACTTTCTATATTATCAATTGGTTTATGGTGGAACCTCAATTTTTTTATGGTTTCAGAGCAGGTTGTTTTGCATGTTATGTTGACCATGTGTTAGGCTTGAAAACATGTTACATGTAAGGAAGCGTGTCGAGAATGAATCCCACATTGATAGGAGGAGGAACCTGCATGAGCGTATAAGTAATTGGACTACTTCTCATATTGTCGATGGTTTTTATGGTAAAACCTCAACTTTTTTTAAGTCCAAAATTGTGACTCACTAAGTATTGTGGATGTGGTCCATGAATTGATGAACGACACAACCTTGGTTGCCAAAAAATGGGTTCATGATTAATAGAGTATAATGCTAGAAGTACTAGTAGCGCATTTTTTGATGATATTATGTTATGTGGTTGATGAAATGAGTTAATGTAATGATCAATTCGTATGGTGTAGGGTGGTACGTTATTACGTTTTTTTTAATGAAATTAATCAAGTGGTTGTTGACGTGCGTTTATTAAATTGTTTATCAATTCTTGTAGATTGTTTATCAATTCTTGTAGACTTCCAAGTTCCAATAGGAACTCCTCATTTGGAGTTAACCAGTCTAAAAGATTGAAAAGCTAGTCGCTTTTGAAGTTAACTACTGCAACTCTCTTTCAATTAGCTCTAGTCTTTTTCTTATGCATTGTTTTAACTCGCTTATTTGTAGGACCGCCTTTGAGATTTCGAGGGTTCTGTATGGAATTTATAAAAGGATTCCTCCTTAAGATAGTTTTTAAAAAAGTAGAACAATGTATTGATGTTTGAAAACAATCACTTAAATCAAAACAAACTTTAGCATTCACTGATTGCAAGTTTACAAATGTCATTAATCATAAATAAAAAAAACTGCAAACATAACCTTCACTAAATAATCAAAAGCAGTTCGATCTTAAACAACCAAACATAGATAAAAACTTCAAAACCCTAACTTAATAATTTCACTTGTATATGACATTATTCTATAATAAGATTGAAAAACCATCGTTTGTTGGGGTGTTATTATTGACAATTAGAATATCTCATTGTACTTCAAATTTTATATTGAGTAATGCTAAAGTGACTAAATTTGTAAACAAAATTTTGTAAATTAGACATATGAATTAATGATTGGATTATTAGACATATGAATTGATGATTGGATTATTATTTAAGCGTTGATATACGTGCTCATTTTGTATTGACGACACATCATTTAATTTAGTCTTCCTAACATTACCCTTTTATATTTAAAAAGGAAAAAAAATTACCCTTATAAGGAATGCAATTAGATTTTAAAATGCTAACAAGATCTATTTTCTAAATATAGAACATTATTACATAATAATACTAGATCGCAAATTTTTGGGATCCCCTTCAAATGTAGGGCTATGTGCGACTGCATCTTTTGCTCTCCACACCACCCCCCCCCCTCCCCCCAAAAAACCCCCCCCTCTGCTTATATGGTTTAGCTTAGATCCTCAACAAAAATACATATATCTTTGCATTGGTAAAAAAAAAAATCACCTATATATATGCACGATCACCATTACTAGCACATCTTTTAACTAAAAACTCTCATTTATATATTAATAACTTTATACATGCATTAAAATTCATATTAAAATTTATTTTTTATTTAATTTAGCTGGACAATAAAAATCATAAATTCTAGAAAATAAAATTTCATCATTTTAAATTTTTTTCTTAATAATTTTAAATTCACTCATCCATAAATTCTCTTCAAACTTAGGTAGCCACTATCCACAAAACTATTTTAGATTGGTGTACTAGTATTTTGAGACAAGTTTTTTTTTTTTTTTTTTTTAAAAGATTAAAATAGCTAAACAAAATGACATAAATAGCTTATTGGAGATGTTCCTAGGCTCTTGAATATGAGAAAATCTATGATGCGGCAGTTTCACCACTTGACAATGCGATGATACTCACACACATGAGAAATTTTTCATTGTGATCGAAACACGAATGATACATTACGTGTTTTTATATAAAATGTGAAAATTTTATTTTCTAAGTTATTAACTTTTTATCATATATATCTCATCATTTCTATAGTGACACATAGTGTACCACTCCGTGTTCTAGAATCACACTGAAAAATCTCTCCACACACATGACCCCTTGTATTTGATCCCCCCAGTAAGTTAGCCTCACCGGATTAGCTCTAATAATATATTCTATTGACATAAGATCGATTGGTAGTACGTTTGAAGCCTCTTATTTTAATTGCGGTACGTACTTCTGGTGAGGGACGTGGAGCTGTCAAGGAATTCTCTCATGCGCACGCGGGCCTTAAGCATGCATTGTGCATGACTCGTATTGAGAGTATATCGACAACATGTCAAGAAATACAACAATA